AATTGGCACTGAAGACACTCCATATAGACTTTGTTTTCTTTTTGGCAAGACTGGTCTATTGGGCAAGAAATTGCCCTTATCTTGACTGCCGACAATAAGTACTCTGGCCAGTCTGGACAAGCAGGACACAAAGAAAAGCAGCTGCTAAACTTTGCCAGGACAGGACAGGACAGTCTTTTAAATTTTCCTGGTTCTGAAAAAGGTCTGTCAGATATTCCAAGTCTATAAACCAAAGCTGGATGCCTCAGGATCACAGAGAAACCTTGGGTGACTGTCCAGGCAGTCAGCAGTTTCTGTAATTTCTTAAATTTTTTTGGAAGTTGCTTGCTTGCACTTACTGTTTGCTCAGGTAATATTATTTTTCTTCTCAGGACTTTTGATGGAGCTGAAGATTAGACAGTGACAGTTACAACTCTCCTGAATCTTAGCTAAGGACATCTTCAGTACAAAATCAAGATTCTTCAGGAAAGGACAATTATTGGAGTAACCTCTATAAAAATTGCCAGTTATCCATGGTCTGGATGTCTATGCTGTATTTCTTACTAGATAATTGTTTTTGTTGCATGGTAGTTTCACTCTTTGTTAAGATTATTACCTTTCACTTTTTCTGAGCAATACTTGATAATAGTTTTTTACTGTGTTTAGTTTTATTCTGTAAGGATTAGAACCTTCCTTCTTAATTAGACAAGAAGGGGGAAATGTGGGAATTCTGCCATTCAGTCTGATAACCTATAGTAAAGAGTGGCTTGGCCAAAAGGGAAGAGTCTTCTTTAGAAAGTCCATGATTTGAATACTGGGATAAAAAAGCCAAGGAAGGTGGGTGCATGCTGCCTTGGATGGTGGAGGGTCTTGCTGAAGCAACAGAGCAACAGAGTGTGGCTTGGTGACTTTCTCCATCACCCACTTGGGAACAAGCAGGGGAGTGGCTGACAGCTGTGCCCCAGTGGGAACAGTGGGACAGCTGCAGCCTGGGTTCTTCCTTCTTACCAGTGTTAGACCCTTTCTCTACCCAGTTGATTTTGGCCATGGTGTCTATCACTGCATTAGATACAACTAAGGTGCACAGAGGCCTCACTCTGCTCCCTGCAGGCACCACCCTCTCCTCAGCTCAACCTCATCCCTCTGACAAATAACTGGATTCCATGAAGCCTTTACGTGCCAGGACTGGGCAGTGAAAAACTGTCTCATAAAACAGGAGAGAGGGCTGGAGAGATGGCTCAGTGATTACGAGCACTGGCTGCTCTTCCAAAGGTCCTGAGTTCAATTCCCAGCAACCACATGGTGGCTCACAACCGTCTCTAATGAGGTCTGGTGCCCTCTTCTGGCCTGCAGGCATACACGCAGACAGAATATTGTATACATAATAAATAGATAGATAAATAAATAAGCATTTAAAAAAATTAAACAAGAGAGAGCCAGGCATGGTGTTACACAACTTTATTCCCAGCACTTGGGAGGCAGACGCGGGCAGATATCTGAGTCTGAGTTCAGCCTCGTCTACATAGTGAGTTTCAGGAAAGCCAGGGCTACATAGAGATACACTGTCTTGATAAATAAAAAAAAAAAGAAGGAATAAAACAAAAGTTATGTGTTACCAGGATGAATCATGGGAAATCCATGAGGGATCCATTAGAGCTGGAGGAGTATTGGGGATGTAGGCTTGGAAAACAGACAGTTCCACATCTGTCTCAGGAGGGAGGAGAGAGGATCCCGACATCACCAACAGTGGCTCCTTCAGTCTGCAGCCTCTGTCAGCCATGGCCTCTCCCAGGCCAGGTTCTCTGTGGATACTGAGTCCTGTCATCTGAGTGCATCAGCCCTTACACACCAGTATCGGAGTCTGCTTCACCTTAGGGTAGACATGGATGTCTCTACCCTAGGTTGCATCCCCAAGTTTCTAGAACTTTTCAAAGAATGCATTGTCCCAGATTCCTGTGTGTGAGGTTTGCATTCTTCCCACACCCCAATTCTATCTCTTCCTAGAATTGTCACGTGGGCACTTATGGGGTGCCCTGGACAAATACTAAATTGTGGAGTTTTTTTTCTTTTTTTACTTTTTTATTTCGCTTTTTTTTAAGTTGTCATTTGCATTTTAGTCATTTTCCTCACTGGGACGGTATTCCTTCTCTCCCTTCCCTGTGTTATCATGTGTATCAGTCTCCACAGGTGCCATGGGGACTGACACTCTGGATAATTAGACAACTTAAATCAGTGTGCCCTCTAAAGAGAAATATTCCTGTGAACTTAGACTGTTTCCTGCCAGAATTAGCCATCCAGAGCCCCCTGCTCTCCCTCAGCCCCACCAAGTCACAGTGTTGCCCTAGTGAATTAGGAACTGAACTTCCTCAGAGACAGGGTCTTCTGCAACTCCAGACTGGAGTGACAGGGAAGATCCACACACCCTGTGAGCACCTCTGTGTCCCAGTGACAGCTGCACTGGGCTCCACAGCACACTTCAGGGATCCTGGGTGACAATACCTGGTATCTTGTCCTCCCAGAGGCAGAGCTAAGGGACTTATTTTCTCCGGCTGAGTGTCAGAGTTTCACCACATTTCTGCTGCTCACTGTGATGATGTCTGTTCACTTGGATGGACAGTTAATGCTGGACAGAAAGATGGTCACAATGCTTGTGCCTCAATGGTGGCAGCAGGAGTTAGTAGCACATTTCATGTAACCTGTTCCCCTAATTTCTTATTTGGATATGAAAATTAATATCACGTATATAAATTATTTTCTATCCCTTCATTCTTTTACTACCTACTTTATGCTATAGAGTATCACATAAGAAGACCATCTTGACCTGCTGGCTCATGTGGATTCCCTCTTAGCTTCTGGGTCCCCCAGGAAACTGTGCATTTCTGGAATGAGGGGACCAGCTCTACCTGTAGGTCACTAGTGTGATGACAGAAGTGTTCAGTCACATAGTTCAGTGTGATCGTTGATTTAACTTTGTCTTTGCAGATTTCAGTTTATCTTGTTAATTGTAGGATTTCTTAAATCTTCTACACAGATCCCCCAAAGGCACATGTGACCCATCATCCAGGACCTAAAGGTGATGTCACCCTGAGGTGCTGGGCCCTGGGCTTCTATCCTGCCTTCATCACTCTAACCTGGCAGAGGGAGGAAGAGGAACAGACTCAAGACATGGAGCTGGTGGAGACCAGACCTTCTGGGGATGGAACCTTCCAGAAGTGGGCATCTCTGGTGGTGCCTTCTGGGGAGGAGCACAAATACACATGCCATGTGCACCATGAGGGGCTGCCTGAGCCCCTCACACTGAAATGGGGTAAGGAGGGAGTGGGTGCAGAGCTGGGGTCAGGGAAAGCTGGAGCCTTCTGCAGACTCTGAGCAGGCTCAGGGCTAAGAGCTATAATCATGACCCTCACCTTCTCTTCCTGTCTTTCCCTTCCCAGAGCTTCCTCAGTCCACGGTCCCCATCATGGCAGTCATTGCTGGTCTGGTTCTCCTTGGAGCTGTGGTGGCTGTGGTGGCTGTTGTGAGGAAGAGGAGTGCTACATCCACTGTCACGCCAGTGTAGCAGAAATGCTGACTGAACGGACTGTTGCCATAGGATTGGGATCTGCGCTTCACGGAGTTGTGTTCCAGGCGGTCCCTTGGCAATCAGCTGTGGTCATGATGCCACCTGAAATTGCTACCTGCACTGACTCGACCTGGCTGTCCTTGGCGCCATATATCTGTCTTTTCCCTTGTTTTTGTGTTCTTTGTGATCCTTGCATATTGCTAACAGATCAGACTATTCCAGTCAGTTGCGGATACAAACAAGACTGCTGAGGACATTTTTGAGCTCTGCCCCACTATTCATTAAAGCCTTTAAGGAAATAGCCAGTTCTGGAAATTGGGAGGTCATCGTTAAAATAATTCCTTAATGATGTGGAGCAAAAGGAGTTGCTCTTATCAGGAGAAACCTTAGAAGCCTTCTGTAGGAAAACAGTTGCAGCAACACTAGATGTTTGCCTGAGAATTACGTGCAGGGGGCCTATGCAGCCTTCATTATGGCCAGAATAAACCTAGGCTAGTTATAACATCTGACCCTGAGAGTCGGAGAGGGAAGAAAGTTGAGATTTATGGTATGAGACCAGTTTCAGACAAGTTTGAGATCATGTCTTTAAATTTTCCTAGCAGAAAGTTTTCCCAGAAAGATAGTAGCCTTCTTCTTTCCCACCCAGGATATTCTGAGCACAAGGTCACTTAGCTCAAACCAGCCAGCCACCTGGTACAGACTGATAAAGATAGCCTAGTTCAAGGGCAATAGCCTCTCTGTAGGCAAGAAAAAGAGTCAAAATATGAGAGAGCAAAAGTCCTTGTACCCATGCCAAAGTATTTTCAAAGATTCTTTTTGTAAACTGTTTTATGCTTTTTTTTTATGATCTGATGATGTATGCCTTTGCCAAGTTCTTTGTTTGTAAAATATAAAAGCCTTGCTTTTATACTGAAAAAGCTTTACTTTACTATACTTTACTTTTTTACTGAAAAAGTAAAAATCGCAGCAGCATTTTCATCACATTGAGGGCGTCTGACTGTCATTTCCTTCGCCGATTCCTGAATACTCCTGAGCCTTTTGCCCTGTTTTCCCACGGTCTGAGTGGCTCCCCTGAGCCGGTCCGTGGCAGAGGAGGAGAAACACAGATAGGAAAGGGCAGGGTCTGAGTTCTCTCTCTGCCCCTTTTAGAAGTGTGTTCTGCCTCATTAACAGGAAACACACCCACACCCTGCATTGCTGCTGTCTCTAAGCTGGGTCTGCTGTCAGTTCTGGAAAATTTCTAGTGTCTGGGACTTCCCTGGTCTCTCACAGTTTTTCTTCTCACAGGTGGAAAAGGAGGGAACTATGCTCCAGTGTCAGGTAAATGTGAGGAACAGGATTTTCCCTGAAGCCTTTGGGTTGAAACTGAATTATCTGGGGAGCTCTGACAATCGATAATAGCTCCTGCAGGAAAATATTCTGGGATACCTGTTTTTTACCTTTATATATATATATATATATAATTTTACCCCAGGCAGGGACAGTGCCCAGAGCTCTGATGTGTCTCTCCCAGACTTTAAAGGTGACATTCTGGGACCTGACTTGTGGAGGGGCAGAGTGGACACAATTGGGTTTCAGGAATGAATCACCTTTCAGTGAGTGGTGGGTTGTTGGGATGTTGTCTTCACCGTGATTGTTCATGACTCTTGTTCTGTAGCGTGAAGACAGCTGCCTGGTGTGGATGGACTGACAGACGATGTGTTCAGGTCTCTCCTGTGACATCCAGAGCAACTCAGTTTACTGTCAGCAATAGTGTCTGATGTTCCCTGTGATCCTATGGGCTCAGTGTGAAGAACTGGGGAGCCCAGCCCACCCTGCACACCAGGACCCTGTCCCTGCACTGCCCTGTTCTCTTCCACAGCCAACATTCCTGTTCCTGCAGACAGGATGGGACATCTCCATCCTGTCTCCTCCATGCTGTCCTGAGCTGCAGCCCCTGACTTCCCCACTGAAAATAATAACCTGAATGTGAACTTGATTCTTCATGTCCTTGATCTAACAGATTAATTGTCAGGTAATATAAAGGTTTGAGATACATTGAGTTTGTGAGTTTGTGCAGGAAATAAATGACAACATGGAGAACCTCCCAGAACCTGTGTTCACTATGCTGTGTGCATCTGGTGGGACAGGATGAGGCCATGGGAGCTGAGTGAGAACAGGGCTGTGCCCAGGTGGAGCTCAGTCCGTTGTTGGCTCTGACAAGGTCACTCCTCATCTCTGTCCCCTCCTGGCTCTGTTCTCTTCATCACTTAGAACCATATGCTGACACCTGTGATCACAGGGACACTGGGATGACCAGAGCCTCGTTCTGTCCCTGGGATTATGAACCGCCAGGGCTGCTGTGACAGGTCACCAGGGCTGCTCTCCTGGCTGTTACTCTTTCCCCTGTCTTTAGTGTTAATTTCTTGTTTTTTTCTTTTTTTAAATTCGTATGGAGGCCTGTTCTTGCTCCTGTGAGCGGTACCTGCCTCATTACCCTGTGGGGTCCCTGAGTGACAGCAGTAAGAGGTGTTTTCCGTCCCTGTCCCCTCAAGGCCCAACTAGACCCCTGCACTCAGGAGACTGTGGGATGAAACATGAACTTCAGTCTCTTGAGCTCCTGCCTCCCTTCAGTTCCCTCCCTGGAGGTTCTCTCCTTTCCCATCTATCAGAATCTAACCCAGGTTGTAGGACGGGCAGAGAGGAGGAATCCACAGGGTCTCATCTCAGATCTGTCCTGTGTTCTGCCCAAGGTCCCCTCTCCCTCTCTGCCTCTGGGAATCCTGGGTGTTTCCTCAAGTGGAGACTCAAGAATTTACAGGCTGGGTCTTTCTCCTCCCATGCTATAAGCCAAGCCAGTTCTTTATTCATTAACCAATAAAAGCAACACATAGACAGAAGGACCTCCTATACCACAGGGGGACCATGGGAGGAGGTTGAAGGGGAGAGAAGAGGAAGGGAGGGGAGCAGAGAAAAATATAGATCACAATAAAATCAATAAAAGAAAAAATGAATCAAGCATTTCAAAAGGAGCGCTCTGATCAGCTGCTGGTCTCAAGAATTATAATCAAAAGCTAATATAAAGATCTCATGCCTTAAAAAATTGCTGACTTTTCAAAGGAGCTGCACAGTAGCCATTGGGTTTATAAAACTCTTATATATAAAAATATGATCTTGAGTTTTAAGGAAAAAAAAAGAAAGAAATCCTGTCTCAAAAAACAAACAAACAACCAAACCAAAAAAAAAAAAAACCCACCAAAAATGAAAAAGTAAAAACAGTTTCCTATTTGTCCTTCTGGACCTATACATTCAACTCACCTCGCACTTTGTTTTATCAGAGATAAAGTTCCAATCCCTAGGAGCTGAATATTTACCTCCTGAAGAGGCCAAGCTGGATGTTAAGACTTTGATGAAATTGTTGTTCCATCTGCACCTGTGTCTAGTAAACCTTCTATCTCAATGCCATTTTTCTGTATTTTTAGCTTTCATCTCTGATCATTTATAGCAGTTTGCCAAAAATACTTGTTTTCTTGTCTCTCCTGAACTTTTTTTTTCTACTGAGGCTGTTCTGTCCTTGATCACATCCAGGGCAGAGCTGTTTGTAACAAACAGGCATTGAGTCTTTTAATTGCTCTGTGGATGAGTTTCTCCAAAGCTGACAGGGAATGATTGAACCAAATTGAACCCTGGAGCCTGCAAGAGGTCCCCTTTGGCATTTCCTGATGGCAAAGGGTTATCTTGCTTGTCCCATATTGATCTGCATTTATTAGTCCAATGCTGGCCTTTGCCACACCTTCTGAATACTTTAGAAGGCTGGGGCCTTCTGTTTGGATTCTCTCTAGAAAAGATACATTGTTTCTAGGAATGCCTTGCCTATAATCCCATTTCAGATGACCTGCTTACCACAATTAAAACACCTGACATTTTGATTTTCCTTAAAATTTTTAGAAATCACTTCTTCCATCAAAGTATCATAAACTTGAGATCCAGTATCAGCTATATTTCTAATCCATTCATCTATTGGTGCTGATCTTGTCTTTAAAGGCCTAATCACCCTTTTGCATTCTGAATTAGCATTTTAAAAAGCCAAAGATTCAATTAATATTTGTCTGACTTCTGAATCTGATACTATTCTATTTACACCTGAAATCAATCTTTGCAAAAAGTCAGTGAAATCTTCTTTGGGGTCTTGTATGGTAAATGACTCAACCTTCTTTCCTGGTTTTTCGACCTTACCACCAACATTTGCTAAACGACACAGCGGCAAGGTATGGGCATCAAATCCACGCTGCCTTTGTAACCCAGCACACTGGCCTTCACCTAGAAACTGATCTTGAGAAATATCAACACCTCTGCCCTATCTCATTGTTCTAGGGCCCTGGCTTCCTCTGTCCACCATGTTCACCATTGTAACTGAGGACCATTTTCCAAAGCTGCTGTTGCCAAACCTTTCCAGTCTTGGCAGATAATTGATTTCTGAGTTATCCATGAATTTAACATCTGTTTCTCTTTTTTTTAAATATTTTTATGGTTTATTTAACTTTATTTTATGTGCATCGGTGTGAAGGTGTCAGATCCCCTGCAACTGGATCTTCAGACAGTTGTGAGCTGCCATGTGGGTGCTGGGAATTGAACTCAGGACCTTTGGAAGAGCAGGCAATGCTCTTAACCACTGAGCCATCTCTCCAGCCCCTTAACATCTGTTTCACATAGGATGATGGCATACACATGAAATGAGCCCTTCCTCAAATCTCCTCAAATGTAATATCTCTATCGGATTCCTTTAACATCTGCAAAACCTCAGAGGTTTTGCCTATTTCCTGAGGGTAGATTTTTATTTGTAATAACTGGATAAATTAAGGTTGGTGTTCTGACAATCTTGAACCGTCCCTCCTTAGTTTCATCATGAGGGGGCACAGTAGGTTCTTTTCTAAATTCTTCTGTCTGTGTCTGTGTATTTTTCTTATTTTCATTTATAAGTCTTTATAAAGCTTGCATCTTGCCGGGTGGTGGTGGTGCACACCTTTAATCCCAGCACTTGGGAGGCAGAGGCAGGCGGATCTCTGTGAGTTCAAGGCCAGCCTGGTCTACAAGATCTAGTTCCAGGACAGGCTCCAAAGCCACAGAGAAACCCTGTCTCAAAAAAACAAAAAAATAAAAATAAATAAAGCTTGTATCTTATAAATCCACTTTTCATTTTGACACAATTATCAAAACTTTTCATATTTGGCACTAAAAACATTGCTATGTCTATTAAGGATAAAATACGAATGACCAGACTGATATTAATTATAACCAGTATTATGTCAGTCTCAGTTCAGTTATTTCTTTTTTTGCTTCTGTTTTCAAGTCATCTAAAGTAGCTAAGTAATAAGGTACGAATTGTTATGGTTTAAGTAAAATGCTGCAGGCTCCTGAGGGGTGTAGGGGCAGAAATGCTGCAGGTCCCTGAGTGGCAGCAGCAGGCCATGAGACCACGCAGCAGGTCCCCAAGCGGCAGAAGGCAGTGGGTCCTGAGACCATGGCAGGCCACAAAGGCAGCCAATCCCAGGCAGGGAGCCCACAGGTCATGAGGGCCAGGGGGTCCTAAGCAGGGAGCCACATGACAGGTGAGAGCCAGTCAGCAGGACAGCAGGTCCCACAAGGAGCCCCAGCCCCAGCGGGCAAGAGACATGGATAGGCATTCCATGAAGAGTGAAGTTGGATATTTATTTAGTGGGTTATGGAAGGGAAGGGAAAAGGGCGGAAGGGGAGAAGGGAGAAGAGCAGAGAGAGGGGCAGAGAGAGAGAAAAAAAACAGAAGGGGTAAGGGAAGAAGTGGGGAGAAGGAAGATACAAAACTGCCTCTTTGAGAGGGAGATGGAAAAGGAAAGGACCAGGCTGGAAGCTGTCAGCCTGCCTAGGCAGATTGGAGGGGGAGGGAGTGGGAGTGGCTTGTCTCTTAAAGCAACAGAGCAGACCATTACACTAATGCCCTGTATTATGATTTTTTCCATTCTCAATGTGGAAAATATTTTTCCTTTTAATATTACTTAGCTCTCTTCTTGAGGACTGCCCAGCTGTCTTACCAAATCTTATGACTTCTCAGTCTGCAGCTGGCATGATTTCCCTGCCTGTGTGATCACACCACAGGTTAAAGTGCCAAACATCTTTAACCAAGTCTCAATCATTCAATTTTACCAATAAAGACTCATAAGCCAGATGCTGGGATAAAAGCCTGCTAGCTCAGGGAGGCAGAGGAATCATCATCCAGCTGACCTTCTGGGTCCACAGTTAAGAGCACTTGCTGCCCTTACAGGAGACTCATGAGGAGGTTTATAATCGCCCACAATTCCAGTCCTGGGAATCCAGCACCCTTTTCTGGCCTGTCAGTACCACGAACCCTTGCAAACCACAAAACAGGATTCGGGGCTGAAGGAGAAATGCTTTGCTGCTTCAGGATGAAGTGGGCATCCTTCATCCTGCTTTTCCCAGTATTCAAAGTTCACAGCAGCTTAGTGAGCTGGGACCTGGATCAGTTCCTACTCCTGGGTCCTGCTGCCCCCTGGAGGCGGTTATCAGCATCGCGGCTTCTGATGGTTCCAGGAAGAACAGAGCAACTTTAAATGTCCCATCAGACTGCAGGCTTCAGAATCACCCAACTGCTGGGTTCAGGAGCATTAGAGGCTGTTTGGGCCACACTGAAGAACCGGCTGTCTCCTGCACAGCCCTGTTTAGATGGAAGCCACATCCCAGCCCCTGGCATCCATATATCCAGAGTCTGGAATATTGGGGTGGAAGTTCCATCTGGAGTCCTCTCCCCTGGGAGTTGTTTCATTTCAGACTCCGCCCCCGTGGAAGCCCGTCAAAAGATGACCCTTCCCCAGAGATACTCAAGACCACTCCCAAAGGGTATTTAAACTGCCCCCCAGAGAACAAACACATAATTTTCTGGTCTTCCTTCCCTGTCTCCTCACTGGGGGACTGGAATGCCATCCAGGAGCGTTGGTATACATTAACCTGGGCTGTTTCTAATTTGGTTTGATTTGATCTGATTCGGATTATTGCATCGGTGGAGTGGCTAATTGGGATGCAGAAACTTTTCCAGCCCCTCACATCATAGCGTTACTTTCTTTCTCTTTAGTTGCTGATGTTGCCCGGGATTTAACCCTGTGTGTTGAGCAGGTCATACCTGACTACACCTCAGCCCCACTAGCTTAGTTAGATGTAACCCAAAGAAAGGGTTCCCGGTTTCTTTTGGAACACCTTTTTTTCTTTAAATTTATTTATTTATTTTTAAAAACTATCCTTTCTCATTTTACATACCACTCCCAGTTTCTCTCCTTCCCCTCCTCCTGTTCCCTTCCCCCTTCTCCCCCACCCCACCCCCATCCACTCCTCCAAGAGGGTAAGGCTTCCCAAGGGAAGTCAACAAAGTCTAGCCCATCTCTTTGAGGCAGGACCAAGCCCTCCCCACTATATCTAGGCTGAGCAAGGTATCCATCCAAAGATAATGGATTCTTTGGGGACACCTTTAATCTCAGCCCTCAGGAGGCAGAGGCAGGAGGATCTCTGAGTTTCTGCTCCACATAGCAAGTTACAGGACAGCCAGGGTTGTAATGTGAGACCAGAACACAGGGAGTCACAACACTGACACCTGGGGAGGGGGCGGGGTGGTTAAAGCATGGAAAGCCAGAAAGGAACATGAAGGATTCCCAGCGTCAGGTTGTTGGGAGCTATTGGGGGCTGCAGACCCAGCCCTGGAATTCCCTGTAAACAACTTGTTTTCCTCTGCTCTAAGCAGCCTATAGCTGTTCTGAACACAAACCCTGATTGGCAGGAGAATGGGTTCTGATGGGTCTGTAGCTGAAAGATCCTGAGAGCAGGGGCGTGCCAGAACCCCATATAAGTTGCCCCTGAGCTCAATAAAACTGGCATTCTTCTACCAAGGATGATCCGTGTCTCTGTCACTCTGTGTTTGTGTGTGTGCATGTATATGATTTTAAGTCTCTCAGCCCAGTTGCTGGCTTGCATACCGACCTGTAGTGACATGGGAACTACAGGCACGTACCGTATAGCACGTAGTACACACGCCTTCGAGGTTTAAAACCAGATCTGGGGTGAGCCTGCGACCCCCAACCTAGTGCTGTGCCGGGTGAGCCTCAAGGATTCTGGGAGCCGGTGCGAGACTGGAAAAGCTGGAACTGGGAACCAGGAAGGGGAAATGAGGAGGAGTGGGCAAACTCCATAAGGACAGCGTTGACTCCGCCCACAGGACATACGGCCCAATCAAGAGTGGCTTTCAGAGTCTTCCTCCTTCCTTTGCTCTTTCAGGGCAGCAACAGCCAGATCCTTAGGTGCGCCATTGGCCAAGGACATGAAAATGAGTTGGGTGGAGGAAATTACCTCATTACTTTTTTCTGGATTGCTTCTTTCACCTGGAATTTCCCCCATGATGAAAGGAAGCTAGGGACTGCTGTCCACCTCGCTGTCCACCTCACAAGCTTCCTGCCACCGAACTACATCCCTGGCCCTTTACTTTTTTTTAAGTTTTATTTATCTTATGTATATGGTGCTCTATCTACACATACACCTGCAGGCCAGAAGAGGGCACCAGATCCCATTATAGTTGGCTGAGAGCCATCACGTGATGCTGGGAATTGAACTCAGGACCAAAGAGCAGCCAGTGCTCTTAACCGCTGTCTTTTCCCTGTCCCTGTCTTTTAAGACTGTGGGAGTCAGCCATGATAAGCTAAGTCTGGGCAGGTCACCCAAAGGAAGTTCTTTACTTCCAACCATTATCACCTGCCAGAGTAGAACTCGGCCATTGATAAATTTAAATGGAGGCCTGAGTCTCTATACTTCACCCTGAAGCAATACCTGGTTACAGGAAGACCTACAAGCTGAGATTACCTGACCACCACCCAAGAACGAACCATCCAAAGGAAATGTCTAACATTCCAACTGCTGTAGATAGGACTACCAGCCAGTACACACTCACCAGGACACCCCTAGACAAATGTCAGCCAATCAGGGATCCTAAACCTCAGAAACCCCTCACCCACACCTTTACTACTATAAAACCCTATTCAAACTGAGCTCAAGGCTCTCCGAGTTTGCAAACTTGCTTAAAATAAAAACTTTTCACTTTTACATACGGGATTCAGGATTCGGTCTCCTTGTTGGCTTGTGTGGGGACTTCACGGATTTGGGCACAACCAAGACCTGGACCAGGCTGGCTTTGAACTTATTCTGTAACCCAAGCATGGTTTTTGTTTGTTTGTTTGTTTTTGTTTTTTGAGACAGGGTTTCTCAGTAGCTTTAGAGCCTATCCTGGAATTTGTAAACCAGGCTGGCCTTGAACTCACAGAGATCCCCCTGCCTCTGCCTCCCGGAGTGCTGGGATTAAAGGAGTGTGCCACCACTGCTCAGCTCCCAAGCAGGCTTTTTATACCATGCCACAGTTTCCCAATTAGTTGGGATTACAGGTCTAAAACTACATGGTTTTTGTTCAAGATTTGGTCAGGTGCTGGATGGTGGTGCATACCTTTAACCCCAGCAATTGGGAGGCAGAAGCAGACGAGCTTTGAGTTCAAGACCAGCCTGGTCTACAGAGTGAGTTCCAGGACAGCCATGGCTGCACAAAGAAACTCTGTCTCGAAAGCCCCCAAAAAGGACCTGGTTAAGGTTAAGTCTCCAGCACTGTGGGGATTGAAGGACTCTTCATACCTGTTTAAGACCATCAGAAAACACAGATGTTTATATTATTTCCCATACCTAGCAAAATGACAGCTATGGAGTGGCAATGGAAATAATTTTATGGCTGGGGTCACCACAATGTCAGGAAATGTATTAAAGGTCGCAGCATTAGGAAGGTGGGAACCACTGCTGTGGTCTTCACTGGGCACATAAGCAGGGCAGCAGGAGGGTCTGGGTCAAATGTAAACCACATGATGTGTGCTTGGAGCCAGGTCCAACACTGCCCCAATGTCTGGGTGCAGGGGTTGCAGACCCTCCACCCTCAGAGGAGCTGTGACGTCCATCTAAGGACTGAGAGAGACAATCCCAGAGTCATGGACTTTTCCCATGGTAGCCCTCAGGACAGTGCCCAAGGCTGTCCATGTTCCCAGGCCTTGTGGTGTGTACCACCATCCTGGAGAGCTACAAAGCAGTCTGCTCCTAAGCAATTCACCACCCTTGGGGTCAGAAGCAGGGATAGGTCATAGGTCACCACCCTGCCTTCTTCCTGGATGCCCACCAGGCTGGGACCCGGATAGGTCTACAGTAAGGAAATGCTGGAGAGCTCGAAGGCCCAGGACAAAGGAGAGGAAGCTGTCAGCACATTAGTACTTATTATTGCCTACAGACAGACGGACAGACAGGCAGACTGAGCCCCAGCCAGGAGGTGATGGGTTGGTGTTCACCAAGTTAGAGGAGAGCAGAGGCAGCCTCCACAGCTCCGTCCTAAGACCTGAGTCGCAATCACAGGGCAGTGGAAGCTTTCACAGGTGCGACCCAACAGGGGCGGAGGTCACAGCTCCGTCCTAAGACCTGAGTCGCAATCACAGGGCAGTGGAAG